TTTTTAGACGTTTCGCCGGCATCGTAGTCGGCACCGTCAGTAAGTTTTACCATTTGTAGCACCATATTACGACTCGTCAAAGACAAGTGAAGCCGAATTTTTGACCAAACATGTGCTAAACAGTTGTGGTATCTCCCCTTCTACCCTGGCCTATTCAAATTTCCTATATCCTCCTATCACGCCTTCACTGTCACACTTTTTTACTTGCTTAATTAGATATGAAACCGTGTGCCCTTTTAAGCGGCTTTCCCTCCGTACTCCACGCTGGCCTTCTCACCCCCCTTTATCCTTGTGCTGGGAATCTTGATCAGAGTCTGCCATATTGTTACGCAGTCCTCCTCCCCCAGGACCTCATTGAACCTAGTCAAAGCAATCAGTACCACAACATTTGTGGGTTGACACACAAGAGACTAGGGCATGGGAAGTCAGATTCAGAACAAGGTGCATTCCTCTAAGTCTTCCTACCAATATGATCATGTTGTGAAAACAAGATCAAACAACTTCTATACAACGAAGGTAGACTGCGACCACATGAAAGGCCACACCATATTGGTCTTCATACCTTCGGTAAATTGCGCAAATTTTGGGATTATAAGACAGCCTAAGTTAAAGCCAGTACGCCCCGTTGAAGCGGCTTCCGAGGTGACAACACCTACTGATCAGCACGAGGATAGGAAGAAAGTACTAAACTTATCATCAATTCCTCTTAATCCCGAAATCACCGTGTTCCTAGAAAAAAGACTCAACTTTTCAATTCAATATCACAAAAGCCTTCTCGGAGACATCCTGGTGGAGGTTAGCAATATCGCCGACAAGTTCCCTGGGGAGAAAAAACGGGAAATGGAGATGAAACTAATTCCGAAGATCTTGATTCATCAGGAGCCTACACACAGGAACAGACTTGCCGTGATGCGCAAAAACCTGGAAACGAATGAACAATTAGTCCTTCAGGCAGACAAACGAGCTACAGTAATAATGGTCAAAAAACAATATACCGAAAAGATGGAAAAATTCTACGAGACAGGACCACATATCGTATACTTAACAAGGACCCAACTATGAAGATCAATGACAGTGGACTTGGTACATTCTCAAACCTTTCGCCGGCAGCGTGGTCGGCATCATCAGTGAGTGTAACCGTTTTCGGCAGAACGTTGGTCGAGGGATTGACTTTACTTGTCTTTGTCAAGTGCGGAGAATGACAAAGCTCAATAATGATGCCGACTACGATGCCGGCGAAACGTTTGACAATGTACCAAGTCCACTGTCTGATTCTGGGAATTATGATAACTGCTATGGCAGACGACTTCGGACTGGGTGCGTTCTAAGTTACCCGGACACCAAGACCAAGTTGAGACAACGAGGTCACACACTTCTATAAATCGAAAGGAGACTGCTAACATACCGGAGGCCACACCATCTTGGTTTTCATATCTTTTATCATCTGAAGGTTGTTGAAATATTCGGATTTATAAAAGTAAGGCTCAAGAAAATAATAATGGGTAATAATTGGCTTTGAGTAGACGACGAAGTATAGCAGGAAGAGATGGATGACCACTAACAAGGGAAGCCAGTAGATCTTTTAGGTTACAAAATTTTGAATTGATCAGCAAGTAAAAAATTCGGTAGCTTTCTTTATACTTCGCAGATAAAAACTAGTCAAATAATGAGTATGATTATAAACAACATTGGGTGGTCGAATTTGCCATAAGAAAACGAGAAATGTTTATCTTGATAATGGAAACAGTCGGGCGAACAAGTGCAATTTTCTATGAACCAAAAATCCATTTCTTCAGACAAAGTTAAGAAAACATATAGCAAAAGAGCTGTAAAAATTCTAGTATGAATATTGAATTAAACAGCAACTTAGTTCGGCTTATAATATTTACTTCGACCAGCCCTACGGTAACTGAAAAAAATATAATGAAAATAGAACATAAGTATAATTTCCTCAATACAATAATAGCGCAAGTAAAAAATGGTATGACCTTAAAAAGAGAAATATAAGGTATCAAGGCTAACGAAGACTACATGTAGATAAAAGGTGCGAAGGATGAAGAGAAAAAAGCAAACTAAAGCCCAAAATGATGATTCTATGAAAACATGGACACAGTCTGCCAATCAGCTTCCTGCTTTGGATCTAGCTTCCACTCATTAGACTGTTGGGGTCCAAACACAACCCTGCAGAAATTTGATTCATCACGACCGCGAAAACGAGACTCTGACAAGTTATCGGCAACACGACGCAGATCAGCTAGGCTTACACGGAAAATTTCTTCGCGGTGTTTTTGACGAAGTTCATCAGTTATGCGAGTCAGAAAGTGACGTAACCCTCGAGAACCTGGAGATACTGGATGATCGATCTGCAGATGTAAATGCGTTTGTGAATTTTGTGTAGTAATGGGCGTTTGATAAAGAAAATTATAAACAGGAAAAATAAGATGAATTGGAAAAGACATGCAAACAAATCTAATGTTTTAAGCTGCGATAAATTGAGAGGCACTTTATGGAAGCAAACTGAAAGATTAAAAAAAATATCTATATGCTTTAGCAAAAAGAAATATAATGGAGTTATAAAAAAAAGTAGTTACCGGAACCAGCACAATTTCGCCTCCTGGTATAGTAATTTAACCTATTAATCCAGGATCCGAATAAATGGCTGTTCATGATATAATGAGATTATACAAAAAAAGATTTACTTTGAAAATGAAGACAATGTCTCTAATATGAAGGATAAAAACTTAATACGGAACTAAGAAGGGTAAAAACGGTGTACTCGAGCAAACTATGCTGAATTTTTCCATAGTAGGGTGAGTAACAAACAAAAAGCTCACAATAAAAGATATGAAGACCAAGCTGATGTTTCCCTCGGTGTGGTCAAAGGACTGACTTGACTTGTCTCAGTTTCCGCATTTGATCAGATAAACTCATGAGCAATCCACTTTTTCAAATTTATCGTGTTGTGTAGACAGGCTGTTAAAGAGTAATTGTTTTTTTGTTAGCACCTTGATATTCCATTGTCTTAGTAACAGTCGCATTTTTTGCCTCAGTTCACAGGAGCGAATTATCTCGACATCTATTAAGTGTAGTCATTCATCCACCCCCAACTTCATTGTGAATTTAATTCGTTCACGGTTCCTTTATTATTTACAATTAATCATAGAAGGAGACCGTAAACCCTGGGGCCATTGCATCTCTCTGGAGTAAGGAATTCATTTTCCACTTCTCCAGTTCACCATTACTTACGTATGCCATAAGGGCATTATATCCTAAGTCTTAACTCTTTGAATTGGATCTCTCATTAAAGGCATATACGTGTTAATGTCATTTAAATGGACTACGGTCTCCCTAAGGTTCACAAGGAGGATGTCCATCTAAGGTTAATCGGAAATAATAAAGGAAGCATGATGCACAAAATCCCACGTATTTTATGAATGCAACTAGGGAAAACTGCCAATTTGTGGCTATATTCAATTAAAAATTCTTACGAGTTTGTAAAATTAGTTGACCAGTAAATAACTTCAGAAGAAGATAGGCTAATAAGTTTTGATGTTGCGCTTATGCACACAAACATTTCTGTTCAAGGAGCTATTCAAGCTCTGATACAAACTATGGAGGAGCATCCAGAGATAACACAAGGAATAGAGTTAAGTTTTTGTGTCCATAATTATGCTTCTTAAGTTATTCATGGGTGGCACTAATTTTACCTTAGATGGTAAATTAGACAAACAAGCACAACGACTTACGATGGGATCCTACGTGGCTCCCATCTTGGCGAACAATTATATGGCAAGACTGGAGGAACACTTCCTGAAGAAGCAACACGAACACCCAAATTGTTGGTTAGGTATATGGATGACTATTTTGTCATCGGGCCTA